TTGATCAATTTAATGCATCCTTGCTGAATAAATTGTTGTTGTTGTTTTTTTTCTGACCCCAGACTAATATAATAAACAATATATGTGTAGATAGATACAATAATGTATTGTGTATATAAAAATGCATTACTTGTTTTTTTCAAAGCGAACTTTCTTGGTTTTCCTAGGGTGGCACCTTCACTATTTCCAATCTGGGCATGTATGGCATCAAGCATTTTTCAGCTATCATTAACCCTCCTCAAGCCTGCATTCTGGCTGTGGGTGGCACAGAAAAGAGACTGCTGCCTGCAGACAATGAAAAAGGGTGAGCAAGGGAAATAGGTAGACATTAATTTGCCATCAGTCCTACTAATGTATATGGCGCTCTTAAAACAGTTCCTTCAGTCAGTGCATGTGTTTTCTGTGTCTCTCGTAGGTTTGACGTGGCTAGCATGATGTCGGTGACCCTGAGCTGTGATCACCGGGTGGTAGACGGTGCTGTCGGTGCACAGTGGCTGGCCGAGTTCCGCAAGTTCCTGGAGAAACCGTTCACCATGCTCCTGTGAGCAGGCAGTTTAAAGGCCCCCCCCCCCCAAAAACTGGACTTTAAGATTTGCTCTCCCTGGGAATTATAACAGGTTGTTCTATCCTCTTTTTTTAATTTTCTTTCTCTCACATACTCCCTTTCATATACTGTATTTTTACAACATTGCTTCCTAAAGCCTGAAGTAACCTCTCAACCCTAAGTCATTGTTAAGGTAATTTTCTGGAGTTTCAGAAGATAATGCTGGACAAGGGTTTTCATTTTCCTTCAGGATATTGTTACAAGCACCATAAGTCTGTGTTTGCCATTGGATCAAAGAATAATGTCTGTCTCATGGGTCTGTACCTGCAAGCTTTGACTTGTTTCCATGTATCAATGACACATTCATTAGCACAATATGAGTATCCTTTCTATATAAGAAAAACCGTGATGAGATCTGGAGATGTGTGTGCCATTGCCAAATATTGTCTGACTGCAATTGGAATTTTTTCTGTATTATTGCATAATATACATACATTTGGACTGATTGGATATTTAACTCACGCCCTGAGTTAAATATCTGGCATATTCATGATGGTTTCTCTGCCAAGACTGTGTGATGGTCTTGGTATCTGAGCAGGGTTTTGATATAGGCAGTTTTATTTATTACATCTCTCACTCCAGACAAAGCACGTTAGTGCCTTTGCTCCTGTTTATAACACCTTGGTATTTCTTTTTAAATGGTGGTTATATTTTCAAGTCATTCTTTAATGAATAACGCACAATTCATGGGGTGAACTGCAGTTATAAATAAACCTATGGAGAAACAAAAGAAAGGTTCCCAGATGGAATAAAACACGTCTGGATATACATATTTATATCTTGTAGAAAAATGGTTTATTCAAGCTGTTTTGTCATGCAATCGGTGCTGTTTGGACTAACCGAGTCAAAAAATAATAATTTCTATGAGGGAAAAAGTATGACCAATATTATATAAATATTTAATATGTAAAAAGAAAACATGAGAGGGAATAAACAAAATAGACATACAAATATATGTTGCACATTATATTTCCTAAAAAATTACATGTGTAATCTTACTCCTATACCATATCATGCTGCTATCGTCTACTCATTTACATTTCAGTGCATTTATATAAGGGATAATCACTCAAATGTGATCGAGAGAATGTATTATTCCATAAAGAAAGTCTTATCGTTTTATTTTATGTTCTGTATGTTTTGACGTTCTCCACTATTATTTTAACTAGATAGATAGATATATATATATAATTTTGCAATGCGTTTGTTGTAAATGACAAAAACGTGTTTTATGGTCTCATGTCATGACCATTCAGGGTTTCTGCAGGATTTTTAAGCTCAAATTTAAGACTTTTTAAGACCTGAACAAATAAATTAATACGATAATGAGCGGGTTAGGGCAATGTAGTACCATATTAAACTGTAAAATTAGTGTAAAAAGCATAATTTACAGTTCAGATACAAGTTTTCACAAAAACAAAGTTTTATAAAATAAGCTTTACATTTCAGCCTTTAAACCATTGTTAAGAAAATGGATGAGTCAAAAGTATTAATTATTATATTAACTTAAACAATTATTATATCAATTAAATAACCTATATTAGTGGTGTGCGATATTGACAAAAAAATTATATCTCGATAATATTCTGGGATTTTATCGATAACGATAATTAGACAATATTTTGCTGAGTGTGTTATTGTGCTGATATCTTAAGGACTACCGTGGACAGCTGACTCGAGAATTTTTTGATATTCTTCCTATTCTGTGTGGTCAGTTCACAGCAGTAATAGAAATGTATAATTTCCAACAAGTTTTATGGGCATTTTTACCTTTAAGCCATTTTTTCTAAAGGTGTGCACCATCTTTTGAGTCAAATTCTTGCATTTGAGTTGTTACCAAGCAAATTAAATCAGTATCAACAAAATAGATTTT